TTAGTTGCGTGTAACCTGACGGTGACAGCGTCGTAAGGCATTGTGTGTGTGTGTGTGTGTGTGGAAGTCTTGGATCTATCGCCACAGCAATCACCACTGGCAGTGCACTGGGCGGGCCTCCACACTGAGTGCCTAACGACAACGGGGACGGACGGAGAGACTGAGAGAGGGACACACAGAGAGACAGAGAGAGAGAGAAAGAGAGAGGATTTTTGTAGCTGGGGTAGAACTGATTACCTCCCTCAGTGCGTTTTAACATTTTAAATCTGCGGGTGAGAATATTGTTATAGTGCATTTTTGTTTGTTTGTTATCTGTTTGATTTTTGTTACTTAAGGTAAGTAAGCAAGTAAGTTTATTCAGTGTTTAAGGCCATTGGCCCACACCACATCATATAAACTAAATACTAAATTTGTTAAATAAAGTTTCGATAATGAAAGAGTACCGATTGTGCACATATCTTTTATAATGTTTCTTTTGTTTTCTTGCAATCAAGAAGTGACAATGTTGATGTATTTTATTTGTTTGTTTAATTTGTAACTTTACCATACAGATGTGACCAAATTTCGATGTACCTTTGTTTGTTTTGTGATTTTACTATCTTGAGGTGACAATATTGGTATACAATTGTTTGTTGTTTTTTTGTTATTTTACTATCTCAAGGTGATAATATTACTGTATCTTTAATCATTTGTTGTTGTTTTGTTACCTTTCTATCTTATGGTGACAATGTTGGTGCATGTTTGTTTGTTTGTTTTTGTTAATTTACTGTCTCGAAATGACAATATCAGTGTATTTTTTACAGTTTCTTTTTCTTAATTCACTATCTCTAGGTGATAAGATTGGCGTATTTATGTTTGTTTATTTGTTTGGACTTTTTCGGGTCCATTAACTGTCCCAGCGTGAGAATACTGGTTATTTTTTTAGTATGTTTGTTTGTGGGTTTTTTTTTGTTGGAAGTGATCTCCAAATGTCGTAACGTCATTTATTGAAATAGTCTTTTCATTTTATTGATTTTGATCTATTTTTAAAAAGTAATTTTATTGTTCTTGTGTTCTCTATATTTTTGTTGTTGTTGTTGCTATTTATTTTGTTGTTGTTGTTTAAGGTTTTTCTTCTCGTCCTCCTCGTCCTCCTCCTCCTCCTCCCTCTTCTTCTTCTTCTTCTTCATCTTCTTCTTCTTCTTTTTCTTCTTCTTCTTCTTCTTCTTCTTCTTCTTCTTCTTCTTCTTCTTCTTCTTCTTCTTCTTCTTCTTCTTCTTCTTCTTCTTCTTCTTCTTCTTCTTCTTCTTCTTCTTCTTCTTCTTCTCCTTCTCCTTCTCCTTCTCCTTCTTCTTCTTCTTCTTCTTCTTCCTCTTCTTCTTCTTCTTTTTCTTCTTCTTCTTCTTCTTCTTCTTCTTCTTCTTCTTCTTCTTCTTCTTCTTCTTCTTCTTCTTCTTCTTCTTCTTCTTCTTCTTCTTCTTCTTCTTCTTCTTCTTCTTCATTTCAGTTTGCAATCAATCCGCTTTTCGTTGATCGAAAGCATCAATCTTTACCATGTGATAGAAGGTTCTCATCTTTCATATTCATAGCTTTTGACATTTTGAAGCGGACATTTTACACCTCCACTGTCCTTTGTATGTCAATGAAGCGCAAAGGTGAGGGGGTGGTGGGTGGTTGGGGAGTGTGGGGGGGGGGGGAGGGGAGGAATGGTTGTTAATGTAAGTGATTGTCTTACACAAGTGGCTGTTTAAGCATTTAAGCAGGTTTTACTGCAAATTTCTCTACATTGTTTTAAGGTTTTACTGTGATTATCTCTTCGCTGTTGGTAGGTTTTACTGTAATCATTCTGTACACTACTGACATCTTTTTACTGTAACTATCTTTACTCCGTTGTAGGGTTTTATTGTAATACAACTGTATTATCATTTCGTCTTTGTTGGCAGATTTTACAGTAATTATTATTATCTCTACATTGTCGGCAGTCTTTACTGTAATTTTCCCTTTGGAATATTTTACTGTTGTTGTCTCTACATTGTTGTCAGATTTTTCTGTATATATTTCTACGTTGCTGTAAGATTTTGTTTTATTGTTGTATTGTTGTAGTAAGGTTTTACGGAGCTCGCAACTGCATAAGATCATACGAGCGCCAAGGGGCGATGTCAACAGAGAAGTCCAAACGGGGAATCAGGCTCACTCTGCTCCCCTCTCTCTCTAGCCTTAACAGCACAAAGTCTGCTTCGACCATCAAGGCACCCCATATATAGCAGTTCACAAGAGAGTGACAAACATACAAAAGAAGTAGAAGAAAAATGACGATAGGAAGGATGAGGAAAGAAAAAGCAGCAGTTCCGACAATGTTGTTCCGGCACAGTACGAGCATGACTTTGATAAATCAGCCCATTTACAATTCTACTGTGCTTAAGAATATGTTCATATCTCCCCTTTGGGAATGGCCGGAAGACAACTTCAGTCAGTAGAATTGCCCTGGTTGAGGGGGGGGGGTGAAAGATTTTATATACCTGTTTCTACACTGTTGGCATATTTTATATAATTACCTCTATAACGATGGCATATTTTTAAAAAATATAATTATCTCGAAATTGCAGGCAGGTGTTAGTGTAAATATCTCTACATTGTTGATTTCTTCAGGTCTCCGATGGCAGCGCCGAGAGCGCCGTGAGAACAGAGCCTCTGTCACAGTTGCTGCAGTTGTATTCCTGGCATGTGTCCTGGGGACGGCCGTCTTTGAGTGATTTCCCCGACCTCGCTACTTCAACAGCTGGATTGTCACTCCTGCATAAGTCCTTCATAGTTTCGTTTCGTCCGTGACACACTGGTTCACGTGGTGGTCAAGATGTAGTTCCTGCCAAATTTGAGACGTTTCGTCGATCTTTGACGTCTCACTGACAACTGAAAAAAGGTCCACATTTCATGGGCTAGTGTTGATTACTCTACATATTACATAGCACAATACCAAAGACTCTGTGACATCAAGTTCCTTTCATCTTCATTCCATCCTCCTGTTGAGAAATAATTCTATAAGCAACTGGTATTCCGGTATTTCTGTGGACATTTTGGAAAGTTAGAAGCAAAAGAAGCTGTGTAGAATCCTCAATTTCACATTGCTACGTAATTGTGCTCAGATAAAAGTTGGAACTTTTTTTAACAAAAGTACCTCTGAACATTTTCCATTTACTCAAGAGTACTTACAATCTGTTGTCTTTTGTTGAATTTTACTATAATCCGATTCTCTTGAGTTTGATTAAGCTACAATTAAAATTTCCAAAATGTCTCTGTTGATGCTGAAAACGAAAAACTTGTCCTGGCAGGACCATACTCTCAATATCGAGGTGATGCTCGCCCCTCTACGATCCACACTGCTTCTCAACAAACACAAAACTCTGGACACGAAGTATGACAAAGAAAAGGCCCTCTTCGAGCGTCAGAAAGATGCCTGTATCAAGGACTTTGTCGTGGAGAAAAGACTCATCGAAAGGAGAAGACAGAAGCTGAACAAAAGGAAAAAGGACATCCTGGCAGAAACCAGAGCTAAGTCGGCTTTAGAAAAGGAAGATACAACCGTCACGGAGGCGGTTAATCAGGAACGGTCGTATTCTGCTCCTGGTCGTGACCGTACTGCACATGATCAGGGTGCCTCGTACAATCCATGTTTACCGAAACTTACTCTCAAACACACACCACTATTTGGGGGAACCCCTCTTCGTCCGAGACTATTTTTGGAAACAGGTTTGACGTCAGAAGGGAAACACGGAAAGCCACGAGAAAGTATCGCTTCTACCGGAAGTGCCCGATACACCCAAGACGGAAGTAGGAAATCAACACTCATTGACTCCGACAGAAAGCCACCGATACCGCCACCAAAAAACACAACGGGAGATAATCAAAGAGGGTTGCCCCGCCGCATTCCCGGAGTTACGTTCCTCGACTTTTTGGATCAAGACGACTCTGACGACGAGAACAATAACATCATCGTCGAAGTAAAACCGAAAACTGTCGAGGAAAAAGTTCGCGAATTCCTGCGCGACATGGAAAAATTCAACTCGCGGCCAGCGACCGCTTGCAGCAGCGCTGGGGGTCGAACTGACGACAGTCTCGTGTCTAGCAGGTACACTCGCATGTCTGAAAGGTCCGGGGCGTCGGTGGCCAACAGGTACAACACTTTCTCTATGGACAAAAAGTCGCTGGAGAAAGCTTTCGATCGCTACTGCGAGAAGAAATCCCACGAGGATCTCCTCAAGGCTATGAAGCTGGCGGCCAAGATGAAGGCCCACATTCGCCAGGCGAGGAACGCCAGCCTTGTGCCCACAATGGCCGCGTTCAAATCTTCCAGGTCGTTCATGAGACTTTTGAAACGGCAGCAAAGGAAGGATAAACAGGCTGCTCAGGGGATGATGGACTGAAGGAGGGATGAGAATGTTGGTGTTGTGAAAGGGAGTTGGTGTGTGTGTGTGTGTGTGTGTGTGTGTGTGTGTGTGTGTGTGTGTGTGTTTGTTTGAGTATGTGTTTGTTTGTGGGTGTGTGTTTGTTTGTTTGTGTGTACGTGTACATGTGTGTGCGTGTGTGTGTTTGTGTGTGTGTGTGTGTGTGTGTGTGATAAAAAGAGAAAGAAAGAAGGGGGAGGAGGAGGGAGAGACAGACAGAAAAACAGAGACAGAAGGACAGAGAGAGAGACGGTGACATAGAGAAACAGACAGATGAAGAGAGAGAGACAGTGCGTGAGAGAGACAGAGAGAGAGAGAAAGAGAGAGGGAGAGAGAGAGAGAGTGAGAGAGAGAGAGAGAGAGAGAGAGAGAGAGACGGAGAGACAGACAGAGAGAGAAATAAAGAGACAGAGAAGAGAACGAGAGTTAGAGAGAAGAAAGGAA